CTTAATTAGGGATGTGCTCTGCCATCTGTTGAAACGAGGCCGGGAGGATTGCAAGCCTCCCGCCTGTGGCTCCCCCTGCCTAGCTCCCCCACCCCACCCCTCCCAGCAGGGTCCCTGGTGCTCCAGAGCCTCCAACCAGCCCCTCCTGATGCTCTTGCCTCCTCCCCTCCCCTCAGTGCATGAGTCCCGGGGCCCCCTCCCATGGCCTTATCCCCTCATAGCCACTCAGCCAGGAAAACTGCAGCCTCCAGATGAAGAGAAGGGAGCTAAGTGCAAGGGCAGCGGTTCAAACCCACCAGCTGCTTCCTGGGAGAAAAGTGAGACTTTCTGTCCCCAGAAAGATCGGCAACCCCAGAAGCCCACAGGGGCAGTCTACTGTGCCCACAGGGTCGCTCTGAGTCAGAATCGACTTACAACCAAGAACACAGTTAGCTCCTTCACTTGTTCCCCAAAGATGTCCCAAGGCCACCAGGTGGTCCCTATGGGATGTGGGGACTGCCTCCTTCCAGGCGTGTATGTGCGGGAGGGCTACTGTGGTGCTAGGGCCCCCCCTCAGGTCTTATCATCCCCTGGCTCTGGGACCTGATGCACCCCACCCAGCCGGTCCCCACTACTTTCAGGGAGGCAGTAGGCCTTGGAGTGCCGAGCCCCCTTTCTCAGAGGGCATGGGGCTGCTTTAGCACCCAGCTCAGCCAGTGGGAGCCGAGAGACATGGGAAAGTCACCGCCGGGACCCCTGGGCCCAGTCCCCGGAGTGGCCTTAGCCCCCAGACATCAGCCCCTGCACTGTCCGTAGACTGTCCCTCTGGGTTGAGGAGGGGCTGGCAGCTTTACCACACCAGCACTGCCCCGACAGATGCCTACAGACACCTCACGCTGGGGGACGTGAACAGCTGGCTCAGCGTGGGTGCCCCGTTTGGCATTATTAAAAAACCACTTCTTTCTAATAAAGGCTGCTCTGCGCGCCAGCCGCCTCGGGCCTGGGCCGCCTCGGGCCCACAGGGCCGCCTCCGCCTGCTTGTGGATTCAGAGCAGGCTGTCACTCGCTCCCATCGTCTCTGACTTCCCCTCAAAGTGGGTCAGCCGCCAGCCTCCTCTCTGGGCAAGTGGTCCTGAATGAACTTGGGCCTGCCTCTCCCACCAGTCCCTCCCAACAGGGGCAGGAAGTCCCCAAGAGCAAGCCATCACGGGAGGGGAGGTCCCAGGTCACCAGGCCCGAGAATTGGCAGTGGCCACCTGGCTGGCTGCCTCTTGGAGACCCCGGGGAGCTGCTGTGGGGTCTCCTGCCATTCCCTCGACAGGCCAGTAGTTCGTGGCTGGGCACCTTCACCCCCTGCCCCCACAGCCCCCTCACCAGGCCAGCTGTCCTCAGAGGCCCGAGAAGGACCCCCACAGTGAAGGCAACCTCTCCTGCACCCGTCACCAAGGATGCTGGACAGGTGACTTAGGACAGGCACTTACGCTCTCACTTCCTGGAGGCTGTTTGTCCTCACCGGGGTCTCCACCGGGCGGACCCCTGGGGCCTCTGAGAGTGGGGTTGCTCACGCCTCCCCTCCCCCTCCACGAACACACACTTTGGTTGAGTGCTGCCCTGTGGAGTCCAACAACCCCCCCCCTCCCTGAGCCTGTGTGGCAGGAGAACGGCTCCAGGGCCCCCAAGAGCCAGGCTCCAAGTCTTTTTCAGGGGGGCCCCTCATTCTGCTGACCTTTCTCTTGGCAGCGGGATGCTTTGCCCCTGTGCCACCAGGGCTCTGGCTGGGGCTCCTTTCAGCCGCTAGGTGCTCCTGCCTCCATGGCCACGCGGCGTCCGTCTTGCCCTGCAGGAGACCCCTGGTTATGACACCACTCAGGAGGGGTCAGGGGTCAAGGGCTGCTCTCCAGGCTGCTTCCTCGGAGCAGGTCACCAGGCCTTTCTTCCGAAACACCCAGGCGGGCCCTGCCAGCTGG